GAAGTTTAATTTACACAATGAAACGAATCGTCTGTATAATGTATACAGCTTAAAAATATGTTTAAGCTTAATTTAATTAAATTGTTCATGAACCTTTGCAAAATCAGATCCTTTTTGAAGAAAATTTTCTAATCGCAATTTCTGACTTAGCTTAATTTATATCAACCAGAAGACAAATTTAAAAACTCAAAATTGATCAAAATAAAAACTATATTTTAGAAAAGTCAGATAACCTCTAAACAAATCTTTGTTTACTATTCAAGTCCACTCTAATCACTAATAATTTAATTTATAAATGTTTATAAACAAGAATTAAGCAACAAATTTGAGATAGTCAATACAATTAATAGATTACAGTAACATGATAAGCTTCGCACTACTTTCCTACCCGGTAGTAACGAGTGAATAACATTTGATCTTTGCAGATCTTCAACAAATTGAATTAGCCGCATATCATTGTCAATGTAATAAACAGCATAGCAATTACATTTCTCGCACATAATTCAAGCCATAAAGCATGTACAATAAATTTAATTACAAAGTATTCAGTTTAGTCTGAGATTTCGTCAATACTCTTTCATTTCCCCTCGTTCAATTCGAGCATCAATTTTATTAAACCAGCCGAAGAAGATGATCATGATAAACATTAATTGTAAAGTTGTAATTACTTGATGAATTGCTCAATGAAGTGTGTGAAAATATTTTTCAATGTTCTCACACAGAGCAATTCTTTCATCTTCCTTTATTTATTTATTTTTTGCAATGGATATCTTAACTTTAATGACACAAGAAATTTTCACATTTTTCAAATTTCACGTGATTTAATGAAAAACGGATATAAACGCAATCGCACATGAGAATTATTGCGTGCTTGTTGGCAGTTCTAGCTTGGTGTTTAACTTTTTATTCCGTCAACCTGTTGAATTGACCTGAACTCTTTATTACTACGTTCGTGGACATTGTCATTCATTTTACCGGAAAAACTTCCGGTCGTCGAACTTACCGATACATTCTATGTTGCCTTATGCTCTGTCATGCAAAAATTATAATTTTCGATACGAAAACAAATCATTTTGAGAAGCATAATTTTCGGTTGCATAACTTACACACATAAAAAGAAGTTTTTTTTATTGTCAAGTGCCTGTTGAACGCATTTTGTCATAAAAATATCACCAATTTAATCTCTCTGTTCATATTCCGCGACCCTTCAACTAAAATATAAAAGTTTTAAAAGCTCGTTAGTCGAGTCAAATGAGTTTAGATTGGTTTGAGGCGCATTTATTGTATTATTCCTAGTAACTCAAATTTTACGTCTTATAAGAGCAATGAATTGGATTTTTAAGGGAACAACATACAGAAAACGCATCTTGTTTTAGTGTCAACTGTGGCTCTCGCTTTACAATGACAGACAAAGATTGTATTCCTCAAACCTAGAGTAACTGTTACTAATTAGAGCTTTCTTTTTATAATTGTTTTGATAAGAGATTTCTTAAAGGCAACTTGTTGCACTGAAACTCTTCTTACTTAAGCTGTGTCAAGAGAATATGTATAATTAATTTAAAGTCCTCATTGTATATGACATATTTATGTATATTTCTCCGTTGCTCGAAAAAGGTTTTTTATGCCTTCTTAAATAATTTAAGTAATATTTAAGGGGGCTTTTTCCTTTTGTAAGAGTGAAAGCAAACATAATAATAAATAATAATAATAATAATAATTCCATGAAACTATGTGAGAACTTTGAATCATACATACTGTGAACTTTAAACCGTACCAAAAGTAAAGTCACGGTACACTGCTGTCACGATTCCGTGTTTTCAAACATAATTTTGACACATTTTATGTCCACATTTCTAAAAAACATTGATAAAGAAATTTAATCTATCAAAAGACATAATTTTGAACTTTCAGACAGTTCCATACAGATGATTTGTCTTACAAGACACACAATATGTCAAAATCACACGTACGTTACCAAAAAAATCATGCTAAAAGCAGAAGAGAGAGGCTCCAAAAAAATATAATTCTGTTTCCATGTATTATTGCGTTTAAATAAATCTTCCGGTCTAATGCGGTGAAATGGAAATTAATTGAGTGCTATGTATGTACATCAAATGAAATTGTTACTGTATTTGTGGATTGCATTCAAAGCATAAATCTCAATTTTTTTTTTATAAAGTTGTTATGGCAAAAAATAAAAATAAATAAAGACATGAACGTGAGGATGACGAATATGATGAACCAAAATAAGAAGAAGAAACGACAGTTTCGTAAAGAACAATTGTCCAAGACACAATGTGAAATTATTTTTTTATAATTTCTTTGTATTATGAAAAATATTTAATTTCGTATTTGCAAATCAGACAGATTTTTTTTTATGATGGAATATAATAAAAATATACGACAGTACTTTTAACTCCCGTGAGAGAAGTTCAGAGAGCGGCGAAACAATAAGCAGCTTTTTAATCCACAATTATTACTGAAAAAAAAAATCTTTTTTATTCTACTTTTAATCGTAGAATCGTACACAATTTGACGATGATGACGATGATGGTGATACACTTTGTAAAAGTGAATGTACAATGAAGCAGGTGAGACAAGAATTTTTATATTTATTTCATTTACTCACTGTATGTATAATGATTTTTGACTTTAATTATTAAATTATTAACTATTGTGGTCATTCAGAGAGAAAAATATTTTCTCATTCCATCATCCATAAAATATAGTTTTTAAGATTTAAGACTTAAGAAAGGCAATTTCTCTTGGTTATTTATTTTTTATGTGTGATTGTCTAATGCATTTTTTTTCTCGTTTAGGATTGTGTGTATCATATCTTTTGTCATTTCATTCACATATTTTATTTTGCTCATTCCTCTCACACAGTAAGGGATCTTATTTATCAATTAAACTTAATATGCTCCTCTCTTTTTTTTCGGGGCGGCAAAAAAAAGCGGACTTTATGATGATTATGATGATGATAAGTATGAAAATGCATAAAAAGAGTAAAAAAAGGAATTAATATTAACCGTCAATTTCCGTCATAACTTTATATTTTTGGCGCATTTTTTTAAAAGAACAATGCCCTTTAAGTGGCAGCAATTTGTCTATATTGTTTGCGTCCTAAATTTCAATTCCTCGGAAATTGAGCCTTTATGTTACTGAATCGATCTATGTAGGTGATCTATGTTAGATTTGATTGTCGATTCTAAGATTATTGATTATATGATTTCTTTAGAAGTTCTCAGCTAAAATGAAAACAATCGAATGAAGATTTTGAGGTTAGTCAAGGACCTAAGATGATTCAGATCCAAAAGATTCTATCAGAAATATTAACAAAGTTTCCCATACATTATTTAATCTGTTTCCAACCTGATAATAAGCTAGCTTAAGTTGACGACTCAAAAATATTAAATTCATAAAATTTCTATTAAAATATTGTCAATTTACCTACGTCTACACGAGACTACTCATTTGAAAGCTAATTAATCATTTTAAAGTCAATGATCCTGAACCAAAAATAAGGAATTATTTTTTTCACAAACGCAAATGCTTCCAAAATTAACTTTTGATAAGACACAAGGTTGAGACATTCATTTTCGAATGTTGTACGTGAAAAACCCTAGTAACCAAAAGGTAGATCAATGTATTCCATGAGAATCTTCCATGGATGATACATATGTATTATCCATGTATTATCCATCGGAAGATGATGTCCTATGAAATTGGAAGATAAATGGACAATGCAATAAGACATCAATGTAATACATCAAAGGAATACAAATGGAAAACAAATGGATTACTTTTTTTTCGATAAAACACGTGCTAAATTCCACGTGTTCTTTTGTAGTTTTCATTATTTGTGTAAATTTTTGTAAAAGTATTAGTGTATATTTAATTAAAGTACACTAACACTACGAAAAAGAACAAAAGGACTTAATTTAATTAAGTAGCATACTGATGAACGCCCAAGACTCGCACACAAACCTGAGGAAGATAAATAATTAATTGAAAGCCCCATACAAATTTAGAGAGAACTTATAATAGTGATTTCTTCGAGCAATTGTGAAGTATATGGCAAATGCCAAATTTAGAACAAATATTATTTTCCTGCCAAAAAATATTTTTTTGATGATTTTTCATAGGTTTTGATCCTAAGCAGGCTCGGGTAATACTTCGATGGAACACTTCTGTTACATATTTGTAAAATAAATATTTTCCATATAATAAATAATGATACATTTGATCTTCCATCGACGTCAAAGGAAGATTATATGGAACATTTTGGTTACTAGGGAAGTCTCGTTATAAATTTTGTTATTCCCCAAAATAAATAAAAATCATCTGTTTGCTCGATGATGTTCATGCAATATTAATCCGCAATCCGATCGTTTCCTCGGAAATGCGCCTATTATCTTTATCGCATTAATGATAATTTCACACAATTTTGTTTGTACTTTTCTCATCGTTTATCATTAAAAAAAATTGTAGCCTTCTTTTTTTTTTATATCCGAGCACTTTCGAGTATGTATATCCATATCCATATATGAGAAAACAATGGGATGTAAAATGCAAATTAATATTCTAACAACAGAAATAAAAGTTTTATGTATGAGAAGTAAAATGCATCAATTTTGACTGTCATAAATAAAGTAAAACGAAAAAAAAAATAATATTAATAAAACTTCATGATGCAAAATGATTTTAATGTTTCAAAATAATCAAGTGTGAATGATGCGCATTTTAATTAATATTGTTGTTATTTTTGAAATTTATATGATTGCCGATTAAAATGCATTTTGACTCTTCTCGTATCGGGTGTTGATGAAAATTAATTTAAATAAATGTTAAATCTACTTTCTTTTTAATTGAAAATTATTTTATAAATAATAATGTACTGACATGGGTCGAATGTGCTTAATTCTAGATTAAGGATAATTACTTATTTTTGTTTTTGATATTTTAAATCATGTGGGTTTTTTGCAGTTCTTATTTTTAGCTTTAAGATAATCGTAAATTCAGATTGTTTACTTTTGTTTGAAATTTCGGCATGATAAAGTTATTTGTGTTATTGTGAATTAAGTTGTTATTTTTAATCTAGATTAAACATACAATAAGTGGGCGAATGTGGTTCAGTAGTGCAGCATTTGTTGGACATAATTCACTCTTATTAACAGTGAAGAACTTTCGATGAGAAAATTTAAATTCAGTGCAGTCAAGGATCCTCATCACAATGTATTACTATGAGCTTCTCTAAACATTCCCAGGAAAATCAATGATTTTTGCATTATTAATGATTCCCATGCATAATTACTTCATATTTATATTCCATGAAAATAACATAAAAATATTAAATAAATATTTACAATCAAGCAATAAGCAACAAAAGAGTTTCATGTGAAATCTCATAATTTTCACTCAATAAAGTTCAATTTTACGACAGACTTTAAGGCTGCTATGTAAGAAATTGAGTCCTCATCAATCATATTGTTCTTATTATGACTGGATTATGACAATTTAGAGTAAATAATCAGTTTATGTGCGGTACTACACACTTAGATCTTTAATGAGTTTATTATTGCTTTGCGTATCTCAAGTAAATTGATTGTTATTTATTTATTGACACATTCATATCAGCGATGATGCCATTAATGTCTTTTTCTCATTTTTCACTCAATAATTCAGCAGAACAGCTATAATAATCATTAAAATAGAATCCGTAGAGGTAAAAAGTGAAGATATGCATACACATACATATATCATCATCATAAGAATGAATATAATAACTAAGGATGTCGTCAATTCAAATGAATTAAGTATAATTAACAAAAAAAAAGAGAGAGGGAGAAAGAGAGAGTAAAGAAGAAGAACTCTCATTTTTTTATTGCACTAAAAGGCGTTCAAATTAATCCTAGCATGACATAACGAAAGATAAGAAGTGCGCAAAAATTTCATTGTCACGTGTTATGAGATAAAGCAAATGTATCAAAAAGGACACATATGTCTGTTCTAAATACTATTTTTCACATAACCCCCTTTTCTACGATAGAATCTTAAATAAATAAAATTATTTTAAATAAAATTCCCAAACAATTTAAAATGTGAGAAAAAAAAATTCAAAAGAAAACAACTTTTTTAATGTAGAAGTTCCCAAAAGAAGAAGGTTCTAAAACATGTGTTCAACTCTTGTCATTAAAATAGTTTACACACTCGAATAATTTTGGGCAATTGTCAATTTAGCAACAGATTTTGTAAAATCAGTGGGAGTTTTTCAGCATTTTGGATTTTTCTTTTGGGGAAGGACTCGTGTTCCTTAGCTAAAACTAAGATACTAGCTCTCAAACTAAACCATTTGAGATTAGGGCTGTTCATAATGATAAGGTAAAGAGACCTAACATTCAAAAGTTTTAAATAGAATTTAAAAATGCGTCTATAACTTCCATCCAACATACTTCTATTACTATACCTCACACAGAACTTTGGAAATGCTAATTATTTACTTCCATGTCTTATAATAACAGAACTGGACTAATGATAAAATGATGGACTATTTTCATAGGACATTAACATTGTGAGAAGGTGAAGGAAGTAAAATTACACGTAAATTATCATAATTTCTCTATTACAAATCTCTCAACTTAAGTACTTTCTATCCACTTAATTGACATTGAGAGAAACTAAAATTCAATAAATAAAAGCAGGCAGGGCAGATTTGATAAGTAAAAAGCAGGATAGCGGAGGCGTTTGATTTAATCTTAATCTTACGTTTTATCTTATATTCTCAATACACTTGTCTTTTGTTTCTTTATATCAATTTTATCACGATGATGATGATGATGCGCGCATATGACCCGCAAGATTATCGCGCGCTCGAGCCACAAAGATGTGTTTATTTTCTGCTCGAGGTCAATCACTAAAAAGAAATTTTTTGTTTTTGCATTTCTTTCATTTATTTTTACGCAGTGTGATGTTGGATGTACTCTTTGGGAAAGTGCCTTGGATTCCTCATGTCAGAGAGTTTGTGTTAGTATAAATGATTTTTTTTCTTCAGTAAATGCGCATCAATCTTCTCATTTCTTAATACAGAACAAAACCGAAATAAATGATTTTGACAATCGTCAGATCTATTGTATCAAGGGATGCAATGAGGCATCAAATTTTTATTTTCAATGGATAAAACAGGAAGTACAATCGCCCATGGCACCAGCATTAATTCCCGACTCACTTACATCGACAAGTCTCTCACTTGAGTGGTCAGTGCCATCAAAATTTTCCGAACTGGCTAAAGGCAATTTATTTAAAAAGACAAAAAATGAAACTTATTTTGTGCAATGCTATGAAGATTATGAGGATGATTGGAAATTGTGTGGGAAGCAAACGATTTATGAAAATTCTACAATTCGACTTGAAAGTATTCATCCATATACAAAATATAAAGTAAGTGATAATGATGTCAGTGCATTAAATGAGAGAAATGTTTAAAAATATATATTTTTTCATTGTTTACAGTTCAGAATTGCGCTACTTCTGTCAGAGAATGAGGCAATCTACTCAGAGCCGAGTGTTGTCATCAGTACAAATGAAGAAGGCATACCTGAAAGTGAGCCGGTAATCTTACAAGCAGGAGCTGTTGATCAAACAAGAATTATGGTTTCATGGAAGTCTGGATTGAGAAATAATGGACCCATACTCAAATATGCTCTAAGAATTGATGATTTGGTCCATGGGTACAATGCAATCAAGGTGCATCAAAATTTTATAAACCTTTTCTCCTCTAATTCTATCAATATTTCTGTTTGCAGCACATTAATGCTTTCGTTTGCCTCTATATTCTTCAATTCCTAACCAAAACCTGAATATTTATATCTTTAAACATTTATTTATGTAAATAATGTGCATTTTATGTGTGGTTTATTTTTATCCATTCAGTCAATTACGGCTAATTCATATTGTTATTGTTTTCATTCCATTGACTAACGCATGCATGCTGCATCAATATTAACATAGACATTTTATTATTGAAAATAATGACAGTAATAATGAAGTGACTTGTGACTCTTGTCCGATGAATTAATTCTATATCTTCTTAATTTATTCAGGAAGTGGATGCATCAAATGAGACTAATTACTACATTTTTGAGAAATTATCTCCCGAAAGAAATTACTCGATACAAATAAGAACGAGAAATGCTCGTGGATTGGGACCATTTGCGGAAGCTAGAACAGTGACAGCGCCTTACTTAAGTAATTCTTATTAATCTTAATGAAATTTGATGCTTTAGATGAAATAAAAGCTGTTTCAAGTGCAGCATCGCTAAAATTAACTTGCGTAACAGAATCTAATGAATTATTTTAATTCACAGAAGATGATGGAGCTTCTGAAGATCCAAAATTAATTCTTGCAACTGAATACAAAATTGTATCACAAGGGAAAGACTTCTTAATGGTAAATAAGTAATAACATTTGTTTCTCAGATTCCAAAAATCATTCTAAATTGAATTAATTAGGCTCAACCAACGACATTCTATACAACAAACACTTCTAAAATTTCGGGCATTGCACTGGATGTGAGAAAGAAGCTAATTTTTGTTGCCGAAGAAAATGGATGCATATATCAAGCATCACTTGATGTATCACTGAAAGCTGAGAAGAAAGAAGTCATTTGTCAGAAAAGTGGATTAAATTTCAAGCCTTCACTTCTATCCGTTGATTGGCTCAATGATCAACTATACATAATGGGTGAAATGACATCAAATTCACAACATCAGTCAATTAAAAGCTGGTCGATTTCAAGATGCGATTATGATGGAAAGAAACTCATTGTAGCTGTTGGCGGTTTGAATGAGAAGCCAGCATATATTGAAGTCGATCCTTATAATGGGTAATAGAGTGCATGATGTCAGCAAAATTTACACTAAATCATTTTATTTATTTTTTTCATTATCTAGTTACTTGTTCTGGGTGATAACAGGCGAATCAGCTTCATCAGATGGCTTATTTAAACTCGACTTGGGGGAGATTTCCAATGGAATTAAGCATGAAACAAAACCTAATCGATTGATTGCCGGAACGAAATTGGGTGCATTTGTTGTTGAGCCAACAAGGTTTCGTTTATTAGTTCCATATCAAAATGATAATACAATTATGGCTGTATCATTAAATGGACATATTGAGGATATCAGAAAGAATACACAAAGTCCATTATTACATTCTGTCAAGTCCCTCGTGCAATTAAATGGATTGTTTTATTGGACTAATGGAATCGAGTATCGTGCTGAAGAATATCACGAGAAGCATAATGTTTACTATCATAATTCTTATAATGATGCAACTAATTCCACAATAATAGCAATTCGTGTTAATTCATCATATTCACAACCAATTCCGATTCCATTAAATCCACCAAAAAGCTGTCAATCACTTTTGAGTTCAAATCAAGCTAGAATCTCATGGGAAACTCCAGAAGCATTTGGAGAACAAGGCAAAGGTGCATTTAAAAATTGGAACTATAAATTGGAAATATCAAGTGACTCCGACACACGAAAAGTTGAAAATATTACGGGCAATTCATTCCTAGTTGAAAATCTAGAACCAAACAAACTCTATTCATTTAAAGTTGCTGCATATACATCTGGTGGATCGGGTCAATGGTCGAAAGAGTTTAAAGCAAAAACATTGAAAAGTTCCGATGAACGACACTTAATATGGGCATCTAATGAAGGTCTCATGCAGTCAGATGTAACAGGGGAGAATATTATTACATTGATCTCGAAAGAAGAACTTGGTGATGTCATTGTTAGTGATGTCACATGGATAGAAGATTTACTTTATATCGTAGCTAATTCTACGCTTAGAGTTTACAATCGAACAAGTGGCTTAATAACAAAATTCGATAAATTTGATAATGTTGGTGGCGTTGCAGTTGACTGGCTTGGCAGGCGTCTTTATTGGTCGAATCCATCACAGCAAATTATTCAGCATAGTCAATTAGATGGTGAACATGACGAGCCACTCTCATTTAGTGCAACTGTTCGCGAAATAAAAATAGATTCGCTGAGGGGAAATATTTACTACTCGACAGGCCTAACAATTGAAAGTTGTCGCTTGAATGGGAAAAATGAGCGAAAATATTTTCGTGTACAGCCATACAGTGGAAAATTAGTGATGGGATTGACACTCGATATGGACAATCAAATCGTTTATTGGATCGTTCGAAGTCATTTGGGTTCAAGTTTATTTTCAGCAAAGTTTATGGATCTTATGGGTGAAGAAGATGAGCCAATTGAATATAAATTGACAGAACGCAATCTAAGTGGACCATTGACACATTTCAGTGATCGCTTGGTATGGAGACAAAATGATAAAACAATTGTTTTTGGTGATATTCAAGGCAAGAATCTTGCATTCTTTGAAAATGAGAAGCTTAATGGATTGACCTGCATCGTTGTAATTGATAAGACTCATCATCAATTCCCCGATAATGTTTTTGGGGAAGTGAGTGTGATTCCCGAACAAGTTTCAGAGGATTCTATCCAAATTATTGGTACTTATAAATTCTTTAATATTACTTGGAAACCTGTCAAGAATGTAAATTACGGCAAAGTCTATTATGATATTAGAGTACAGTCACTAAAGACTCCTGATGTCACTTCTGAACAACAAAGCAATGTCTTTCAATTCCCAACAAATAATCTTGAACCCTATACAAAATTAGAAATTTATATCAAAGCATTTACTTCTTGGGGATCATCCGTAATTGCAAAAAGATCAGTTTTTTCACCTCCTGGCTTTCCAAGTGCACCAATTAATCCAAGAGTCTATACACGACATCTTCATAGACCAATGGAATCAAATGTTCAAGTCAGTGCTATCTTCAGATGGTCATTGCCTAAGCAACCGAATGGCAAAATTTTAGGATATAAAGTTCGATGCAGCCTTAATGAAAATAATGTTACAAAGCTAGTCAACAACAAGACAGTGACTGGATTAGAACACACATTTGAAAATCTCAAAAAGGACACACATTACATCTTTGAAGTTCTAGCTTATACAGAAGTTGGCGATGGAAATAGTTCAGAGAGCATTTACATCCGTACAGATGCACATTTAGAGAGACCCGTACCTAAAATATTAGTTTCAACACAAGAGGAAATTTTAGAAGTTGATCTAGATTTACAGCAATCGAAACTTTTACAAAGCACACGAAATCCAATAGTAGCATTCACTCACATTGCACATGAACAGAAACTTTACTGGTTTGATGATAATAATGAATTAATTTCATATAATATAGAGACGCGGGAATCAATAAAACTGATAAGCACAAAATCAACTGTACAAGCTATGACTATTGACTGGGTTGAACGCGTGCTGTATTGGTCTCAAATCGATGACAACAAAGGCGTCATTTATTCATATAATTTAAACAAAGCTGAGAATGTTATATACAAGCCATTCAATGATCAGAATAAAGCTTTTAAAATAATTGACCGTGAAAATGTTATTTCTGACCTAGTTGTCTCACCATTTGATCGAAAGCTGTTTTGGATTGAGAAGCATGAAAAGCTTGAGGAAGAATCTGGTATTTATTACTTAGATCTTGAAAAGAATGAAGTAAAAATGTTGTTTGAAGAAAATGAGGAATGCCTTAATATGACAACAACAACTATGTCTCCAAATCCTGGATCCTTAACATTCGCTACCACACCAATCTTATCTGAAAACTCAACAGTCAGCAATAGAAAGCATGAATCGATTCTAATTTTTGAAATGGGAAATGATCTTACAAGACAATTTGCGGCTACGGATGTGAACAATAAGAAGTGCATTGATTTTGGAAAGATTTACATTGCAGAACGAACAAATTTGGCTAAAGACAGCAATAAAGTTTATTGGATTAATGAGGATCTAGTTTATGCACGGGAAGATTTTAAACGCAATTCATTTTCACAGCCAATACCAGCAAAATCAAATAGGTTGCTGGCATTTTATCAGCAATACTTTCCGAAAAAGCGTTGTCTCATTCCAATAAATAGAAGTAAACGCGTGAAACTATTAAGCAGCACAGACACAACTTTAAAGATTGAATTACCAAAGCCAGAACTACCAGAAGATTGTAAGCTTAAAAGTGTCCCTATAAAATACACAATTATCTACAGTGACACAGAATTCGGGAACTTGAGTGTACCCGATCCAAGTTGCTTGGATAATGAATGTCGGAAAATCCAGACTTATAATCGCATTGAAACAATTGAAATGCTCAAGCCATTCACACATTATTCGATTATGATTGCACTGTCGAGTGTCTTTGACCAGACAAATAAATTACAATATGGAGAAATATCAGACTTTTTGACAGATTCAGGAACACCATCACCACCAAGAAATATTTCAGCAATTCCATTAAGTTTCAATGAAATAAGTGTAAGCTGGTTGAGACCAAAAGTTTTTAATGCACCCCGTCTGACTTATCACATTCATTGGGAGACAGAACATCATAAAGAACAGACTAGAAACAATCAACAGAAGCAAGTGTCTGATTTAAGTGAGCGTAATGATAACTCAATATCGGACGAATATTTATCGACAATAATTAAAGTTTCGCCAAATCAGCAATATAAAATATGGGTACGAGCTAATTCAAAGAATGAAACTTACAGTGAAAGCGAAAAGATTTATGTCCTTTCATATCCAGAACCACAGCCAATAAAGCTGATGTCAAATACATCAACAAGTATGATTATTCGATGGAATCCACCAGAAAATGTATCACATTTTGACATCCAATATTCAAGACAAGATTCATACGACGAAGTTCACGATGTCACTAATGTCTTGTCACCAGAACATCCAAATTCCTTCCTTGTTGACAGTTTAGAACCAAAGACAAAATACAATTTCTCAATATCAATCAGGTATATCAATAGTAATCGTACATATCGTTGGATGCCGCCGCAAAAGATTGAATTTGAAACTGATGGAGATGTTCCATCAGCTCCCGGCAAGCCAGTCATTGAACACTTTAAAGACGATGTTTATAAAATAGTTTGGAATGCATCAAAAGAGAATGGAGCACCAATTATTGAGTATGTTCTTGAATCAAAAAAGATTTTTAATCCTCAAGAGTATCTCGAGAAAAGAGCAAAGCGATCAGTCGATGAATCCAATGACATCAATCAAGAAGCAACAGAAAATGAAGACACTACAGACATGATCCCAATCGAATATGAAGTTAATCTTCAAGAAAAATGGAATGTAGCATACAACGGAGTTGATACTCACTATATAGTAACGAATGTAAAACTAATTGATCAGCATGTCTTTCGTGTAAAAGGGAGAAATAGCTACGGATGGGGGCTTCATAGTCAACTCAGTGATATCTTTAATTCTACTCAAATTAATAACGAAAGATTTGCAAATGGAGTCAAAGCTGAAACGTCAAACTTTTTGATGCTTCTATTGTCACTACTGCTTGCCTTTATAGTCATTTTCATATGTGTGACTAGCTCGATTATTGGTAAGTTTAAGGAATCGACTTTAAACTGCATTTATGGCTATCTTCTTGTTTCATTTCCAACAGTAGTTTATCGTAATCGAAGAGAAAAGAAGTTCCGTGAAGAAGGTATTCCAATACCTGACTTTGAACTATCAACTTTGAGAGATTTACAGCTTGGCGACAACATGATATTGAACAATCGTAACATCCTCTATAACCACTTCTATGGACCATTCCTAAATCCAGAAATCAAACATTTGCCACAAATCCATCAAAATCAAATTATTGTCACTGATCGATGTCTGGGTAAAGGAGCTTTTGGTGAAGTTTGGAGTGGGGTTGTCAAAAATGATGATGGAGCTGATGAACTTGTTGCTATTAAGGTATGAATAATTTTTTGACAAAGCTTTGTTGTGTGCTCATTCCATAAAAAATTTTAGACCCTCCATAAAGGTGCAAATGACGTTGAAAAACGTGAATTCTTACAAGAAGCACAGCTCATGAGTAATTTCAAACATGATCATATTTTGCGCTTAATTGGTGTTTGCTTGAATCAAAATGAGTGTTTGCTTTACATTGTCATGGAACTGATGGAAAGTGGCGATTTATTAAGCTTCTTACGTAATAATCGTCCAGCATTGAACAAAACATCACCATTAAGGCTTCTTGATTTAATATCTGTGTGTGTTGATGTCGCTTCTGGTTGTCGCTATTTGGAAGAGATGCATTTTGTGCATAGAGATTTGGCAGCTAGAAATTGTTTAGTCAAAACATTACCCGACACAACTGGACTTAACTTGGTTGTAAAAATAGGTAGGAGGTTGTGTTTTTTGAGTGAGCTTTTGTGTGTTAAGCTTGGATTTGATTTTCAGGTGATTTTGGACTAACTCGAGATATTTATAAAAACGATTATTACCGCAAAGAAGGTGAAGGATTACTACCAGTTAGATGGATGTCTCCAGAATCACTTGTTGATGGTGTGTTTACGTCACAGAGTGATATTTGGAGTTTTGGGTAAGTTTAAGCTTGTAATTTCGTAACTTCTTGCTTCAATTCCTTAATTGTTCATCTTAATTCCTTTTGAACCAAATTTAACTTCCTAATTCCATTTCAGTGTTTTAATGTGGGAAGTTATGACTCTTGGGCAGCAGCCATATCCAGCCAGAACGAACATTGAAGTGCTACAGTACGTTCGAAGTGGCGGTAGATTATCACGTCCAAACCAGAATTGCCCAGAAGAATTGTAAGCTAGTGACTCATCGAAAACATTCTCATTTAAATTAATTGCGTCTCAATTACTTTCCAGATACCAATTAATGACTAAATGTTGGAATCGAATCGATCAACGTCCAACATTCCGTTACTGTCTGGAAGTTTTGTCACAATTGCAAAATAATTGCATGTTTTTATATCCAGATGTTGAGCTGTCATTTCCAAACGATATCAGCTATAAATATGTATCTAGTGACGATTCATCAATATTAAATGAAAAATTGAACTCAAAGGATGAGACATCAGGGGAATTAATGAGTGGTCAGCAGCCAAAATATCTGGAGCTTATGTATGATGAGAATGACGAGAGGAATATTGAGAATATGTGTGAAGCTCCATTAAATTATAGTGATAATAACCAAAACAATAATAATATTAATAATAACAATAATATAGACAATCACCAAGTAACTATAAAAGACGAAGGCTATGAAATTCCAATAAGTTTTGATAATTTAGATATTAATGCAAATAATGAACTAAATAGTAATCTCTCTAAGTCACGTACACTCTCAAATTCATCAACTGTTAGTCATAAGAGCGAGCCGAATCAAATCAATCATGCATTTTATCCAATTGCATTAGAATCATGTAAAAGATCATCATTAATTTTAGATAGAGATCATCATAGCATTTATCCTCAAATTAAAATAATTTCAAGCGGTCCGATTCCGCAAATAAAACACCATCAAAGTGGATGGGTGTAGGATTTTTTGACTGAATTAGTTTTTTTGAATGGATAAAAAGAAATATTAATTTTTTAAGAAGTACAAAGAAAGCCTCTATTTCCTCTATATCTTCGTCTTCCATTCTCCTTAGTCTTTATTGCTATTATTTTTCAAACGAATTTGCAATAACTCTTGAGTTCTATCAAAGGTTGTGTAAATAGTAGCTATTAAGTATTAATTTTGTAGGTTTTTTAAGAATTCAAACTCGCACATTTGTGTAGTCTGTAAGTGCAGCTGTCTTCCAAAAAAAATAAATTATGGATTCATTGACTTTTTTGGTGAATTTTGTGACATTTTCCAAAGATATTGATTGACTTTTGTTTTATTTTGCTTCCAAGAACATTAGTAGAATTTTCAGGAAGAAATTTTATGCATTAAAATTTGTTTTTGGGGTAATGAAGAACTGCATACATGCTAGATAATATTGTTATAATTTTAACGGTTTTATAGCAAATTCAAAAAAATTACAGCAATTTTATAGCAAATTATTCTTGTTTATAAACAATTCTAAGCGATTAAGCAGTGCCAAAAATATTACAGAAACAGCACAAAATGAACTATAGCTTAAGGAATAAATTTGACTGCAATCAAGGAGCAATTCGTGCTGTTCGTTATAATATTGATGGAAATTATTGCCTATCTTGTGGAGCTGATCGAAAAGTTAAGCTAATCAATCCTGAATCAGGCTTAATGATCAAGTCGTATACAGCTCATGGTGATGAAGTGAACGATGCAACTGGGTCTTGTGATAGTTCATTCATATTAAGTGGATCAAAAGACAAAAGTATCATTTATTGGGATGTTATTACTGGAATGCCGATTAGACGTATCAGGACGCATGTAGGTGGAATAACTTGTGTAAGTTTTAATGACGATTCTTCAGTAGCTATTAGTGGAAGTCGTGATAATTCTGTACAGTGCTTTGACATAAGAAGTCGATCATTAGAACCAATACAGACATTGAAGGAAGCTAAAGATTGTATCACAGATTTAATAGTAACAGATAATAAGATCATATCATCATCTCTAGACGGAACTATTCGATATTATGACATTCGTGTCGGAGAACTTACAAGTGATAAAATTGGAATTCCAATAGTTGCAATGGCAATTACTTCAGATAATCAGTGTATTTTAGCTTCATGTCAAGATGAATCAATAAGACTGACAGATTTGGATGGAGGTGAAATTTTAACAGAATATAAAGGACATATAGGATCAAAAGACTATAGAATTGAATGTGGTGTACTAAAGGGTGATGGATATGTAATAAGTGGCTCTAAATTTGGGGAAGTTATTGTTTATGATTTTCTAGAAGCTAACATAGTAAAGCGGCTACAAATAGGATCTGGAAATACAATTTCATCATTATGTGTACATCCATCAAATGATCAAATGTTATTCGCAAGTGGACGTGAGGTTCAAGTATGGTCACTAAATGATTCTGATGAATAAACCTAAATTAATGAAAAATCTATTACCTTATATCTTGAATGACAATCTTGAACGCTTTATTGAATTACAGCACACAACAACACGAACAAACTTATTTTTCTTCTTCCTTAACATTTACTTCCTCGTTTTCTGTTTCAGCCATATCGTCGTCTTCTGCATCCTCTTTTGATGATTCATGTAGCAACACATATTCACGGGAACTAAATCCAAACTTAATGACATCTTTTTCAAGCAATTCAACATACTTTTTAGCTTCGATTTGTTTATTATTCACAAAAGTGCCATTTGCAGATTCCAAATCAATAATGTATGGTCTGACACGTTTGCCTGTTGAGCCATCTTCACGCTCGTATGGCACTAATCGGAATTGTAATGCTGCATGCTGTTTACTGCATGATGGATGATCAACTGCTACATCGCAAATTTTTCTGTCACGACCTATGAGATAGCCACTTTGTCTGTGTATGTAAAGTACCGGTAAAGCAGTTTCTCCTTTGAATGGATAAAGCCTCCATCGACGTTTCGGTTTCTTTGCTTCTGGCGGTTCAGCATATTTAATGACGATTCCATGAACTTTGTTGGATTCTTCTGTAAGCTTTCCTGACAATGCGAAATTTGGTTTTTCCTTTTCTTGTGGTTTTTCGTCTGGATCTTCTTTGTCATCCCGCCTGCCCCATTCATAATTTGCATCATCTTCTCCTTCATTTCGTCTACGGCGATTCTTATTATTTTGCCAAGTCTTGTCTCTAGATCGTCTACGTTCATCACGATTTCGGTCAGGATATTCTCTATCACCTCGTTGACGATCACGAGAACGAGATCTGCTTTTTTGACGTCTATCAACATCCCTATCTCTATCACGTCTATCTCTTCTGTCTGGAGATTTTTTCCTTTCTGGTGATTTTCGCCTTCTGTCATCATCTCGATTTTTATTTCTTGAATCATCGTCACGATATCTACTTCTCGATTCCTCTTCTCTGTACTTACTTCTGGATTCTTCAGGCGATCTGAAATATAAGAGCAATTTAATCACTACTGGATCTTGTGAAATTTATAAAAGTGAAAGTATTGCCAATAATTGTATAATTTATGATTTTTCTTACCTGTCTCGATCCTTTCGTTTGCTCCTATAACTACTGCTCGATTCCTGCCTAGTTGGACTGTCCCATTTCGACATAATTGCTTACTTTATAGTATAAAATGAATTTCTTCCAAATAGTCGTTGATAAACAAAAAAAAAACAATACTACGATTACTGTCCCTGCAAATTTGAATTTTTTAAAACCGTTGTGCATTAAGGGGTTTTTAAAAATGAGTTAAGAAAAACTGTTGATCAGTCATAAACTATTTCTCTATCAAAAGAATGCTGGAAGCATAAAACAATGAGAAGCTACTCATAGAAATTAAACAATATAAATATAAAAAGTATTTATTTAATATTTAAGTAAATAATTATTAATAATGAAGAATAAAATAATTATGCCTAGCAAAATAATACTTGAAAGAAACTTTGTAAACTCAATATTTCGCTTCTTATCGAGTAAGCGGTAATGTATATCAAGCCATCCATGACTCTGATCCGCTAGCCATGATATTAGCTCATCCTCAACAACACCACAAAATCCATCAATAATTTTTGGTAAAGCTTCTTCATGATTCATTCGTACCAAGTCAATTGAAAGTCCGGCAGTGACACAAAAAAGGGATATAATTTTACCCCATGTCACTTCCGATTTGAACAGGAATTTTCCAATTGTACCAAGTAAAACAACAGTCTCTTCAGGATTCTCCATATCAGCTGGTCCACGAGAAATTTGTCTAGCTATATTCGTATAAACTTTTTGATGCATTTGCTCTAAGCAAGTACAAGCCTATTGTTGTGTTGGAAGTTGTGCATTAATAAGAAAACAAAATATGCATTTAAATTAATAATTCTATGCAAATTAATATTCTCGTGATCACTAGACGATCATGACTATTTCCTACCTCTTTTATCGCGAGAAAAACTTCTTTTACGTCACCAATACCCAGCATATTCCGCTGTAATTTTTGTAAACCTAATTTCTTCTTCTGCTGATTGAGTATCACGGATCTCTTAATACGAAATCGAACATACAGTGTAATTAGAAATTTAGCTTGTGATAAGAGAATCTCTTTTGATGGTGATTGATTCCATCCCAGTCCCATAGCTGTTGATAATTTCCTCACTCTCTCACTCACACGATCACTCACATTTGCACTTAATCGCCGGGTCGTTCGAGCTATAACATTCGTATTTGATTCTGTTGTTAATAGTGTTGATGAATGAAAGCTTGCGGGGAAACTGAACTTTCTTTTTGTTTGATTATTAACACTAAGTGAATTTGCTGTTATATTTAATTTTGTTGTTGCAGTCGAGATTTGTGCATCGTTTGCTGTGCTAGGTGTGAATATCACTTCCGGACATAATGTTGTAGTGGGACTCGCCATCATGCTTTGTGCTACTGTAAATTAGTAGTAATTAAAAAACACTTTTTTTATTGATTTTAATCAAAGAATAATAGCTGTATCGGGTAATAAATAAGAAATATGCAAAAAAAGTTCACAGCTCAGGGGCTTCGTTAGGCACATGAGTGAATTTTGCCGTAGTACAGCCCGACTGTGACATGTCATTATACTGAGTATCGCGTGGCAGTTGTAGTGATGTGGTTGACACAGTATATACCATGCATGGTCGCTCGGGCTGTTTAATTGATACAATCACTTTTTATTCAGTTCTCATATCGTTAATCATTCAATTACGCTCCATGTTAAGATTTAGGAGTAAAGTGGTTTTACCGCTGTCTACCTTCATACAATGTTATCTTTTCATGTTCCTATATCTACGTCTCAAAATATTCTTAAAACTCATCAGGGTCAAAATAGCTGTATGTGGCTGCTTAGAAAATACTGATGTACCTTTTGTATACTTAATTATAATGTAATCAAGGCTTGCTTTACAAATACAATAACTTTATGATCTTAATAATTGGTTTGTGGTGGAATTAAAAAAGTCGTGTGTGACGTGTGACTCTTTGCAGTTCTGATTTTTGCTTTGTATGCAGTTTTTATGTGATATTTGAATCTAGATTTCTAATGAATTGATTTTTGGGGATAGAGTTTCGCTCTGCTTAGTTATATTGTTCTTTTCTTGCTTGCCCCCCCCCCCTTTCCCAACCCCCCCCCCCCCCCCATAACAACTGTCGAGAATACTACAGCGTCATGATACTTAGATTCTTAATATTGCACTTGAATGGAGATCTGCGGATTAGTCAAAGTTTCTGATTATTCATCGTGGTTTTATGTTTGTCATAAGTGTTTGAATTGTTAAATCACCTGATTAAGTGATCTAGGTATGTGAAAAATAACACGCGCCAAATAAGATATGAATATTTAACAAATATATTCCTTTTTGTGGGATGATGCTGCTTATTTGAAGTTCTAAACCCTTCACTTTTTTTGCTTTAATTAATATTTAAGTTTATGCTGTTTTGACGTTATGGAAATAAGTGCTGTATCGATTAAATCAGAATTTTAAAGATTCGATTCAAATAGCAAATACATATTTTTACAACCTGATCATGTGTCTATTGTCTTCTGTTAGACAAGATCATTAAGAATCAAAACATCAATAAAAACGCAAAAAGACGACAATAAATTGGAATAGACTTGCAAATTATATAAAGTTCAATAATTGATTACAAATTTAATCATAGTAATTCGCGAAGTTCGTAAACAATTTGAAGAAAAAAAGAATGTAAACAACTCTTTACCAATAAAATATATCTTGTATATCTTGTAAGTAAGTGTTCAATTTGTTTTTAAGAAGAAACTAAAGAACAACTCGATTAACACAGACGATATCTATTTTATGATCATACAGCAAGTGTGTCGTGATGATTCGTTCAATGTTTATTCAAATATCGATGATAATCGCACAAAGTCGAAGCGCCAATACACAAGACAGTAGAATATGACGTAAGTGGTGCTTTATTATGTATTTTGCGAACCCCACAGATACAATTGAAAAATTCTGTAGCGAGATTAATTTACGATATCAATTTTGTTGTTAATAATGTGCCGAAATGTTTGTCATTTTCCGTTGTTTGTCTTTGAGTCGCGTGTTTTTCACGCATTTGTAAAAAATTAATATTTGTCAATTAAATAATATTTAAATCTCGCTAAATATTTGAATAATATAAAGTGTAATTACTTTTTATTGGAAAATGATTATCTTCTCTCTTTTCCTTTTCAGCGACGTCAAGTGTTTGCTGTTCACAACAGCCACGATGTGAGTACATAAATAATTTCAATTGTTGTAGTCGAAGTGCTAAATGGCATGTAAATAGTATCGAGATGATCGATTGGAATGAGAGCGAGAAATGGATAGGAAATTAGTTGAAAACAGTCTTTTAAGTTAATTTTCTGGCTAGACTGGTAGTAGAATTAGGCGCATTTGATGATTTTGGGTCATTCCTAGCTTCCTTCCAGAGAAGGTTGGGAAGGTGATTTGATTTAATCTCAAGGGTGTCTTTCATGCTTTCATGTTTAAATCAGACATGTCAATATACTTAATCAGGATGTTCACTTGCACAAGTCTTAATCTGCTCTTGACACATTTCCAACGAAATCAACGTGAGAAAAAAATGTCTGGATTTTTACAACAAATACAAAAGTTAAGCACCAATAGATAATATAAAGGCATCAGACATTAGATGATTGATGATTCTTCCAAAAATCTCCTTCATTAGCAATCTAAGAAAGTTCACTTTTATTGACCAAAAACGGACATACGGGTAAAAGGTAAATTCAGAAAAAAATAATAATTATTGACTACTTTTATGGCATTATCTCTGCTTACAAGTCAATGATATATGTCAATAAGTTATAGTAAGATAAATTTCACGTTTCTTTGTCTCGGTTGTTAAGACGGACGGTGGAATTATGAGGAGAAAAGATTCAGTGTCATAAACTATTGGTATGAAATACACGCGACGCATATGCGACTCCCTGACTCTTTTTTTCGTTCTTATCATTTATTTAACAAGAAAGAAATACGGCATATAGTACAAAAGCATGCAAGCGACATTAAGTAAGGTCAGAACAGCCTTGATAATTATTGTATTAAAACTTTTTTTTTGTGTGCGCTATGTATGATATAAATGAGGTTTAATAGCAACTTAATTTGCATTCTTTTACTACGATTGCTTATAAAATAGACTCAAAGAAAATGAATCAAGATAAAGAGCTCTTTAGTATGCTAATGAGTATCAATTGCTTTGAAGTCGCGGTTAATTAATAAAATTACGATTATTTTTGAATGATTGTTGTGGCTTTTAGAGACTTTATTGAATTGTGTAACTAGATATTTGTTTATTTGTATCCAAACAGTTGATCTTACTTAATTGAGGGTATCAGGGCAATGACAACAGATTAGAACAAGATGTAAGATGACTTTTTTCTGAAGATTCTTTTTTAATGATGCTCAACATTTAAGAAGGAATTGGGATTTGAACTTATATTTGACATTAGTTGTTATTCCTAAAAGATTCTTTAAAAAATGAATTTTAACCTTCAAACTTTCAAAAAATCAGGTCTAGTTACTAATTCAAATCTCAAGATATGCATCATTACTGATCATCATAGCCAATTTTAGCTGTCAACGTTGTACAGAATCAACTATTATTAAATGGATATTCCTTCAAAACTCCTAAAGAGCATCTTGCTTCAAAACATGTTGTTTGCTTCATTAAGTATATAAAATTAAGCACTGAATCAAACATTAAAAGGTATATAAAAATCCACGTAATTAATAATTTATCTAAGACGTCATTAAGTAGAGTTTGCTTATATACGAAGAGTTCTTAACGTAATAGTTTTTTGTGTACCATAAAAAATCATGAATGCTTAATTACGAAGGAATTAGAAGTTGTTTTGTTAGACGATCGGAAGTCTTAGCATCTACTGTCAATAGTTGATTAGGTTTAATTATCTTTTTGAATTGTTGTTTAAAGGGTAAAGATCTGATTTTGGTAGAACTATGGCTTTAGTATTGAAATATATTTTCCTAGACACAACTAAGCACAGATCACTTTCAAAAATGCAGTCACTTAGTAACTCTTAATAGCTTTCAAGTTAAATAATAAAGCGAATGTTTTGAATGAAATTAACGAAAACAAATGATTGAAATAGTAAAGTATCTAGTCAGGTCTGAAACTCGAGACAATGTTTATAAATTCGTAGAATTTGATCAAAATATTTTGTGAATATCCACCGAAAATGTTTTACAAATTTTTAAACAAAGATTGAGAAATTGCAGTTCTATGTGTAAACTTTAAGTCTGAATAAACAAACGATTCACGTTATATGACACTACCTTATTGTAATGCAAGAAGAGCATTTTAATTTATAAATTAAGTATCAATTCAATTCGTATCAATATTTTTTTATTTATATCATGTCATTCACGATCAAATTCATCAAATGATACTAGCATGAAATCAAAGAAGCGTGTGTTGGCACATGTGATTCAATTAATATCCATTAAAGCATGAATTAATAGCTCTCTATAGATACAATTCATATTTATTGTTTGTGTATATAATTTAAAGTCCGAAAAAAATGATTGCATGGGATTAAATTTAATTTTTATTATGTTTTTTTTATTGCTGACTGTATCGAGTACTTGACAGTATTTATACTGCACATAATCGACCACTGTTTATAACATGTGGAACGATTTTTTTGAGAAGAAAAAAAACCTCAATTGCTCCACATAAAGTATCGCATTTTCGTTCTCTTTGCGAATTTAGGGGTCACGCGTATAATAATGCACATTTGTGTCCTACACACAGTCACACATATGTCGGTACACTATTATTATTATTATGTGAATGACTTGTGAGCTCACAGCTAAGCATTACAATCATCTGTCCTCGCCAAAACCATTTATTGATTTCGTTTCACACGCATATGCATTAATCGTATCTTGACGAGGTTTCTATGCAGCATGACTCAAATTTCGGTGACGTAATCCGCAGACAAAATTTTAAGAATCATTAATTAATCTTCTCAGTTGGTTACTATTTTTGTTTGTCATTCTCTTGATGTTTTCTTATTCCTTTAGTTTAGAGACATGCAGGCAGTCTTAGTCTCCAACTGATTCAAAATTTTGAAAGTTCCACTTTGAATTCACAAATAAAAGCTTTTGGAACCACAATTAGAATTGATCTACACGCGATCTTGAAAAAGAAACTTTAGGGAAGTTTTAGTTCCGCCCAATGGTCAGTAATTATGAGACATCATAAGCTAACGACCCCTTTGATGTCTCAATCAATGTAAAACCTCCGGCAAATCATCTGATTTAAAATTGTGATTTTCCCTCGCATTTTACAAACATAATAAGTTGTGAACTGATAACTCTAAACTGCGACGATTAAGAGGCTAAGGATTTTCACAAACAAATTTCTAGTAGCTCATATGATTTATATCAGTAAACTTTAGTAAACAAATGTATTAATTTTATTATCTATTTTTAATTATTGTGGAAATAATTTGGTAAACACATAAAACTTTTGAGTTGTCCAATTGCAAAGTTGCAGACATAAGTGCCTTTTAATGCCGTTAATTTTTCAATTAAATATATATCACTTAATCACCTCCTAAATAGGATTGAAAAGGTGCAATTTTCTCATTCTTTAATAAACTTTAATGACAGATCGTGTCACTAAGTCGTGCCACGACAATACTCAGAACTTTTATATTATTATTTTCACATGGAGCCTCATGCAGTCGGAACAGAACAGAGTCATAAAAATCCACTTGAGATCATTCATAAAGATATTAATTTCTTTACAGCACAACAATTGAAAAGCGATCACAACTGTCCAGTAAATTGGATTATATGCTTAATTTAATTTTAAAACTGACCACTTTCAATTATCACCATTTATTACTGCAATTACATTTCCACACTTAACAATAATAATTACGTTTGTTATTTAAAATACAAATTAACAATAATAATTCACAGATCGCGAACGCGATACTTAAAAAATATTGAACTGATCGTTGCGAATGACGATAAGAAAATGAGCTGTAGACAGCGAATTTCAAGTAATGTGTAGTTCTCGCAAAGCTTTTTTTTTTTATATTTTCGTTACAGTCTGCAGCCATAGTATTGAGTGAGAATGTGACAAGTTTGTGTTGTTGGATGAATGACTTAGGATGTGTGTTGACAAATATTCTAAGGTTGTCTTAACTGATCTACACTAAGGGTTCTTTACTACTCTACAGGCGCGTATCAAGGGGGGGGGGGGGGGATTTGGGGGACAAATCCCCCAACGTAAAAAGAAACACAAAATACCCCCCCACCCCAAATTTTTCCATACAAATTTTTTTTGTCCCCCTTCTTTAAATTCCTTGCTACGCCTCTGCTACTCTATCCAAAAAGCTAGGATTGTGAGATTCACGGCATTACACTAGGTGCATTATAGTGCCTTATAAAGCATATGTCAAACTTTGCTGATCGTATTTTGTTCAATCTTGAGTGCGATGAGCCACAACAACCCTAGACTTTCTAAGTTACCTAAGCCAAAAGTCAAATTAGAATTTGGCTAGGCTGTCAAACTGCTTACTTTTGAGCGGGACATTCCAGCTCTTTTGAACAAAATCCCGCCTAAAATCTTTAATGCCCCACTTTTTGAACTCTTTTTTTTTGGAAAATGCTTGAAAATTTGGTCTGTCCCGCTTTTTCAGAGCTGAAATTGATAGACATGTCTCGCTTTTTGACCAAGGTACAACCCTACTTTCACGCCAAAAGTTCAATCTCTCCTCTCTTTCACGCATTAGACCTTCATTCAATTTCCACAACGGCACCTCGCTGACTAGCAATTAATTAACACTTATCAAGGCTAGTTACAATTTAAACCAATATCAGTACAACTTCCTTTTTTTGCAATTTGCATTTTATTTTTCATAGAATTTTTGTAAAGTATACAATATTGTGAAACTTTTAAAACTTTGCATTTTTCTTGTCTCTTTTTTTTATAAAAATAGTTTTTTTTATCTTCACATTTTTTTTACACATATTCTAAGGTAATCGATCATAAAGAATGGGGTTTAAGAGTAATAAAAATGGGAAGAGTGGGAAAAAAACAATTTGTGTGTCTTATGGAAAATTTATTTAATAATTTACATATCTAAGGGTTTTGCGAGAGAAGTATTAATTTAGAAAGGAGAATAAAAAATCACTTCCTGTAACGGCCTGTTTCACTAAGGTGGATTATCCTCATTTTAGGATTATCTATTTCTTGGATACGTGGAAAATCCAAATAATTTTTTTCTGATGTAGAATTAATTGGTTAATAATAATCAGAACAGTTTGATAAAAAATATTTTTTCTTTATAGTGAATATAGCGAAAAAATAATTTTAGTATATGGATTATCCTGAGATTATCCTAGGATAATCCTGACGATTATCCGAATTTTCAATCTTGGGGGGACCCAGTTTTAACATTTTAGATTAATTATGTAGATAATCCTAGGATGATCTCAGGATAATCTTCGGATAATCCACCTACTAGGATAATCTTTTTTTGTGAAATCCATCGTCAAAAAATTATTTTCTTTAAATCCATTTTTTCTGATTCAGCGTGCAGTTTAACGAAGTAAAAAAAATTATGGATTATCCTCGGATTGAAAAAGTGGATAATCCGATCGGTGGATAATCCACCTTAGTGAAACAGGCCGTTATTGTTCCTAGTTCTACGTATTTTTTTTTCACAATTCAACTTCCATTTTTGAAGTTAATTTAGTTTAATATTGAAAAGATCAAAGCTTCGAGACAGCACAATTTAGGCCATAAGCGTCATATCGTCTTTAACTGAGGAATCGTCTTCCTCTTCTTCCTCTTTAAGCATGTCTTCATCGTCATTTCCCATTACGTCTTCACTTTCGCCTGGTTGTAGCGGTGCAGTTTGTCCATACTTTTGATGAATGTTTTGGTGACGTTTGAGCGCAAAACGATCCGAGAAGGAACCTGCACAAATTGTACCTGTGGAATTTATTTCCAATATTTAGTGTCGGTGCCATAAAGTCATAATTAATGCCTTACATTTAAATGGTTTCAAACCCAAATGAACTTTCTCGTGGTTCTTCAGATGAGCTGCCTGTGAAAACGCTGAACTACATCTCTCGCAGCGATACTGTTAAGGAACAAACATTTACTCAATAAATTTAACGTTAAACAACAATTTCAACAAATAGTTACCGGTTTTTCTCCTGTATGAATCTGTTGCAAAATAAGGGAAGGAAAAATATTAAAATTAATAAATTAAGTGTGACGAAATTTGTGTCTATATTATCGCGTGTAGGCCACAAATATTTGTTTCGAATAGCGAATTTATTGTATGACGAAACTTATTTTTTTATCGAAAAGTAAATTAGGAGCACATGGAGGTAGAGATAATAAAATGTTGCAAGAAATAGTCAACAAAGGGAAACAAACAGTCTAGGTTGGATCTAGAAAGATCTTTGAACTTGAAAATGTTCAGGTATGGCTTAACTGAGTACATATGCTGTTGAATCCCAAATTAAAATTAACTCTCAATTCCAAAAGTCATTGACTTCATGCTACTAAACATGTCAGGTTCATAAATCAATCACTTATGATTTCAAGTTTTACTACTCACCCTCCTATGATTCCAAAGAGTTGCATGTCGAGCAAATCCTTTATCGCATATTTGACAGACATATGGCTTTTCACTGTGTAAATAATAGATAGGAGATAAAATCATTTAAATAGAATTATAATATCCATTTAATATTGATCGATAATCTTACCCAGTATGTGTTCGTTCGTGGTTCTTCAAGTGAGGCGATTGGCTGAAAGTCATTCCACATGTACCACATCGGTATGGCTTTTCTCCACTGCAATTAAATAAGGGTGTAATTGATTATATGTTCATGACTGTCAATTATGATTTCTTACCTATGTATCCTCATATGATTTTTGAGATATACAGCTTTGGCAAATGACGAATTACATTGCTCGCACTGTGAAAAGAACACCAATTAATATAATTTACAAGCTCTGATTTGAATCAAGCATACCTTATAGTTTTTCTCTCCCGAATGAAGCTTTTTGTGTGACCAAAGACTCGAATACCGTGAAAACTTTCCACCACAAATATTACAACTAAATGGCTTATCATTTTGTGATTGTACTGATTGATTTTGTGGAGGCGCGTGATGCTGAACTGGATGGTGTTGGGATTGTTGCTGTAAAGGAGGCGGAGAAACTGCTTGTTGAGGCTGCTGCTGCTGCTGAACTTGATGTGAAATGGTCTGAATCTGTACTTGTTGAGGAATTTTTTGTGGAGATGATGTAGCTGTTCTAGCTGGTGCTTGTTTAGGGCTCTGCTGCACAGTTATCGTTTGATTTGAAGAAACTGAAGATGACGAGGGATTATCTGTCACAATAACTACACCAGTTCCATTACATGTCGAACATTTTGTAACGGTTGTCACATTCTTCTTTTTTGCCGCCATTTTTGCAGGAAGTGCATTCTGTAGATGAATAACATTTTGTGACTCATTCACTTCAAACTTAATGTCCCCGTCGGGCGAGACAAAAATTTGAGTTGGTCTAACATTCTGTGCATTTGTGTCATTTTGTATGCATGTCTCGCATCGAATTAATTTAGGACCTTTACGCTTTGCATTCTGTATGTGTCCACCACATGATATACATTTTTGTTTATCATTCTTCTGTTGACTTTGAGATTGTTGTTGAACTAAACCGATTTGTTCATTAATTGTATGATGCAGCTGTGCTGGTTCAAGTGATTCCGTTGCAACTATTTGAATTCCTAAATTTTGTCCACTTTCTGATATTAAATTTTGTGCTTGAATTAAGTTTGGCTGCTGGGTCACAACTGTAACAGTATCATTATGTGAATCCTCTTGATTATGTGTCCTTTTGTGCTGATTTAGTAATGTTAAATGTGGAAATATTTGACTGCATACATCGCACTTAAAACTTATATTAGATATTGTGTTCTAAAAAGAGGAACGGAATCAATCAATAAATTAGGAATCAAATAGAATTAATATCAACTTACAGCACTAATTGGTTTATTTTGAATCACGATTTGTCCATTTTGCGTACCAGCAATTTGAACTGGATTAACTAGGGCATACGACTGACCATAAGATGTGAAAGGCTGCGTAGCAATATATTGAATTGTTTTGTTCTCGTCCCCAAGCTGACCTGGCGCAATCATTTGTATATTTTTGACATTATAGCAGAATGTTGGAAAGTCTTGTTTCGATTCCATTCTTTATGCATTCAAACTTTTTATCTCTTGTTTATAATTTCGTTCTTAAAGAAGAAACTTGTTTACTTTTTACAATTTATACTTTTATCCTCTTTATCACGACTTTTTCCATTACATCAATATAATCTCGACATTCTATCACTGGGCATGTTCCTTAACCAATCACTTTAAATAATTAATTCTACGTCTATATCCTTTAAACTTAGAAATTTATTAAATTTATTGAATACTAGATGCTGAAGTTGTTAAATAACTTACACGGATTAAGCTCTGCGTTTTTGCATAGACATGGCTAATGCTGAGCGTCTTACGCGCCAAAATTCAAATTTTGACAGTTTGTTGCAATTATCAAATGAGATTAATCAAGATATTCAGCCATTTTTGGATGCTACCTACAGCCTAGTACCTAAAGAATTGAGTTAATTTAATTAAAATTTCAAAAGTAGCAGTCAAATTCACGCGATTTCAAAATATATAGAGCCACGTGATTTTCAAATTCCAACGGTTTCACAACGTCAAAAGTATTTTAATATTCATTGCGTCAAGAAAACATCTGAATTGCTCATGAATCAACAATTAAAGTCGTGCATTCTCGTTAACATGATTATTAAATCACAGCGAAATATACCGAAATGCTTCGATGAGTTTATGGAAAGAACCTAATTGAATTACTGCACAGAATTACCTTCAAAAATATGAAATTACATAGCAAAATTGAATTATTAATATAGTAATAATATTATAGTCTGTTACACATGACTTGGGCTTACCTGTATGTATGTATAAAGATATAAAGGCAAAAGTATTGGAAACACACGACTGCATGTGGCAACAATACATCTTCATGCTAAACTTTAAAAGTTAAAAGAAAGAAACAAGTTGGGGAGTTATTGCTGTTGGAGTCATGGGGAGCATTTTTTGAATTAAATGGACTTTGTTGGATGCTCATAAGTAAAGGAAGTCCTAAATGATACATAAAAATTAGATTAAGTGCACCTCTCAATTTGCCACTTAGTACCAAATTAAGAAGACACTCATATTAAATCTTTGATGCTATTCCTGTTCGATGTAGGGGGATAGTGAAATAGAAAGGCTCTTAAGGGGCCGTTCACTTATTACGTTCGGATTTTCGGGGGAAGGGGGGGTTTGGAAAGTTGTAACAAAATGTAACATAGGGGGGGGGGGGGGGGGGTATCAAGAAATATGTAACGTTCTTACTGTCGTCTGCCTTTTAAAAAAAAGTTCACGAAAAAAATTTGTTTACAAATTCACACCATAAACATTTTTTTAAATTTTCCACTTTTTAATGATAAAATAAATTATGAACGTTCAGAGGGGGGGGGGGGGGGGGGGGGGGTTGTAAGTTGTAACATATTGTAACAAGGGGGGAGGGGGGGAGTGTAAAAAGTCGTTTCTTTGCGTAACGTAATAAGTGAACGGCCCCTAATCATCATTGCTATATAGCTAGGTTTTTAAATCAACAGTAAAATTAAAATTCTACAAAAAAAATGTTAAGGAGAGGTCTAAGGATACTTGCTTACTTCGGTGACCTTACAAATCTATTGTGATCAATGGCCTCTCGCAGATGCAGCCTTAAAACTGGCTTTATCACTGGCTACCGCTTGCCAATTTCCTATACCCAATATTGTCTCTATCAACAGCCTCTTTCTATGAGTTCTTTGGTCTTCCACGTGCTTTTTTTCCATCCACAAAGTCCGGTTTAAAACCTTACTTAATAGAGCCTCCACAGGTCTTCTCATAACATGTCCAGTCCATCGGAACCTGTTTATTTTAATATGTTTAACGATATCAGCTCCTGCACTTGTAAAAATCTCCTTCTTTCTAATGTCTCCCAATCTATCACTATTGTCACTAGGTAATATACCCAGTCAGACAATCTGCTTGCACGCTATTAATGTAAACACATTTATACCTCAAAATACCACTAAATAATATAAAGTAAATGGGGAAGAAAAGAAGTAACAACTACAAACACTTTATCGGCCGTGGAATGAATGCAAGCCAAGAAAGAACGTAAAAAATTTCAATTTCTTTAGTATATTTTCGCTGCTCGGTTGAGTTAGTTGTATATATATAAATATAATATCTATCTTACAGTCTTTTTTTTTCGGTTAAGAAATTATTTCTTGTGTTGTAGGAAGAGGTAGAAAAAAAATAAAAATATATATAAAAAAAGTGTTATAGTGGAAATCGCCATAGGATTACTTCAGAATGTGAAAAAAGAAATTAAAATTGCACAACTAAACGTAAAAGCAGAAAAGAAAAGAAAAAAAAGTAATTTATTATTATTTTATTTGAAATTGATAAGCGTGAATAGTAAAAAAATGCAAATAAATTTTTAGTAGTAGCTTAATGCATTCAGTTGAGGCTTAATTAAATTTTTATCAAAAATATAACAACAACAAAAATAAAAAAAAATGAAATAAATTTTTAATAGTATGAAGTGGAATGTGAACAACTTTCAAGTGTTGGCTAAAAAACAGACGATATCATATGCCTTTATATCCAAAAGAATTTTATTATGATGGAATTTTGCTCTGCTTCGCGTACTGAGAAGAGTAAGAAGATAATAAGAAGAAAAAACAAGGAGATGATGAAGAAGAAGGAATAATGATGAAAGTTACCCTAAGTGGGTGATTAATGACGCATTTTATGCTTTAATGAATGAACAATTCGGTTACAAAATTCACCGGACTGTTCTAATTGGAATAACAATGGATCATTCCTCAGGAATTTGAAATATAACATTTGGAAAGTCACATAGTTCTCTTATATTGTTACAATTTTCAACGGCTTTTATTGACTATATTCGGTGAAATATTGAGTTGGTTTTTGAGTGGAATATTTTTAAAAATAATTCAAGAATTAAAATTTGTTGTCTAGTTGAGCGAAACTAATTCCATTTAGTACTGAATAACAAAAGTTATCTTCTTTCCTGTATTGGGAGTTTATGGACATAAAAATGTCTATAAGTTCGGTTTTAGGATCTTAAAGAACTAGCAAGAAGTTTTATGAAGCTGGATCTCAAATTCAACCTGATTGTTTTTGTCTTAAAAAAAATATGTTAAGTAAAGTTCCGAGACCAAGTTCTTGAATTAAAATGCTGGCTTTAAGACTTCTTAAGCCACCACGTGTCAGAGGTTTCCCCAAAAATCATGAAAAAGTTAAAACATAAAATTCTAAAGAAAGGAAAAACCTTAGTGAAGTCACAATGAGATAATTAAAGATTTTTGGATTATTGGGAATTTTTCGCGATAGTTTGCATCTTCTATTGGGATTTCTAAGTCTATTTTGAATACTTATAATGTTTAAGTTTCGTATAAACTAATTTTACAGAGCTGAATAATATTAATTATTCCAAGATATCTTCCTGTTGTATCCTAAGAAATAATAAACATCCTTAATTGTCTTAATCTTAATATGATCAGAATTATAACATTTTAAATTCTTGCGTAATTAAATATATAACAAAGTATAACTTTTAATTTAATTAATTTCAAAACAGTTAAAATCATCAGTTCCTCCCCATAAAATGTGATTTCAATCTTATATTCCTAGAAAACAAAGTGTTTTCTACCTACAAATTCAATCGCCACTACCTTAAAAGTCAGTCAAAATGAAATTTTTAATTATCTCCAAACCTTCTACGCAATTCTAGGTCAAATACATTTGTTCCTCTCACTTTGAAAAGATTTTCGTGTGTTTTTTTATTTAATTAGAGATAATGAATGTCAACAGAATATCTCGTCTCTAACATCTTTGGAATACGAATAGCTCCAAAATATGGATACTTTCTAAATTATCTAATTTTGAGATTTATGTTAAAGAGAGACAATCTGTCATGTTGAATCTCGTATAAAGGTTTGAGCTTACTTTTGCGAAAATATCAGCTAATTATGGACGTCTCTTTGATAGAAAAAATATACAAAAGGAATGAATAATAATAAAAAATTGATTATTGCAAGAAAATAATAAGCTAAAGGGAAGAAGGAAAAAAGAGAGAGACCAGCAAGACTGGCAGCATTAAAACGAGCCGTTGAGACAACGAGATGAACAACAAAAGCCTTTATTAAATTATTTAATTATTTACCATTGAGGTATAGAAAGATTCAGATCAGAATAGGTATTCATTCACTTCTCTTTAGGCTCTCTTTTTCTTCTCGAGATTCTTTCTTTATTGGTTCACAAAGATGACGTGTAAAACGAGTTTGTATATAAAAGTTATCTTACTTCTACCTTTATATTGCTCTATAGTACATTTTTTTACTTTGTTGTTGTTTTGTTCTTTTCTTTCTTTCATATTTCTTCTTTACTCTTTAATTTTTTTTTGTGTGCTGTATATTTTTTGCCTTTTTTATTCCTCTTCCTCTCTCTTTCATATAAATATCTGTTAGCATTCTTTAGTCAATATGAAAATAGTTTGAAATTGTTTAGGTTGTGGATGAGAGTGCACTTATTTCGAAGGGAAGCAATAATCGAATGATTCGCTTGACTTATTGAAAATTTTAACGGTTTATTGAAGTTTTGAATTTCTTAGTTGACCACCCTTCAATTTTTTTCACAGTTTTAAGGTTTTTTCTCGATTATTTACGGAACTTGCTATTAATGAAGCTAGAATCTTCTTGTCAATTGATTAAAATAGTGGCAAAAGCCAATTGCTATCAAATGTAGCATTTAAAACAACACTATAAACTTTCAATCACCCAAACTGCAAATTTCTGCCCAATTTTCCCTCCAAAAGAAGCACCACAAAAAGATTTGAAAGTAATGTAACTCAAACTGAAAGTCTATTCTATTGTAATATTCGTTTCCATTTTGCACTTGTTGATTTCATCATCAACAACATTGCAAACGTAACTCTTTGGAAATTATGAGAAAAAAAGTGCTGTCGTCAAATATAAACAAAAGTTTTCATCTGCATATACGTGATGAGTCATGTGACTTTAATTTATTAACAAAATTTTGTGTGTTAGAGGAGTCAAAACAAAAAATCTAAAGTACAAAGTTATTATTAAACTTAAAATTAATTTTAATCAGTTACGGCGACATGTTTAATTAAACAGAAATGAAATTTATTTGCATTCAAAAATTCCATGAAATTGAAGGAAAGGTTGCATTATGTGGCCTAATTTAATGGATATCGTGAGCTTTTTGCATGTCAGACAACATTTGCAGGCACGAATACGTCGTAAAATAAGGGAGATTTTGTTTTTTTTTGTTGAGAATTTTTTAATGAGAAAAAAAGTGCATATTTTAAGACTCATTTTGGACTGTTGATTGAGACATTTAAATTTAATTTTTGGAGTGGAGATTTGTGATGAAATTTTACTTGGGTAAAGTTCAGAATTTACGTTTTTAATTAAATTAAGTTGTGCTTTGGATTCGCTTAAAAATGATGTCTTAGTTTTAGGTTCCAGGAGAATGTTTCTGGGTCCTGTTTTTCGATTGGTATAATTTTTTGAAGCCATTAAATTCCAAAACTTTTTCAATTTAAAACTGCACCTCATCCAGCCTTTCATGACGATTATTTACAACTTTGTTTTCTTTTTTCGAGAAATTCGGCTGTGCTTTTTCGAGTAAAAAAAGAACCATGCACGAAAATTTGACACAAAAACTTCAATTCTCTCAATGAATACTCTCCATTTGTTATTGTTTTTCTTGTTCATTCGTTAATATCGTTTGCTTCTTGTTCGCAAATAAAAACGTAAGATAGAAGATGAAGAAAGAAAGGAAAATAAAATTATACATTTACAAAATAACGACTATAAAATTCCAGTTTGTTGTATGAGCAAACTGGAGAAAGGAAGATGGAAAGAGTGACTGAGTCGGGAGAAGAAAAAATATTGAACTTTTCATTTCTTATGTGTGTACATAAATATTTGCAATTTGCGCGCGATTTCATCTTTATTTATTTATTCTTGTGCTTATGTTTCATTGCATGGATCGATGTTGTGCCTTCTTTTGCCTGTCATTTGAAGTATTTCTCTATTTTTTCATAGATCTTAAGTTGGTTTTATTTACAAAGGAATTTATAGAAAATTATTAAAAATATTTGTCGTTTTTAAACGCTTTGGAAGTCATTCAATTAGAGAATTCAGCTATTGGGTACCTAATTATTGCATAATACCGATCATGGGTTCGAGACTGGGTATGAGAAATTTTTCACAAGACCTTTTTCGAACCATATGTACTGGAAATGAGGCTCAGAGCCTTCCTTTGTAGACTACAGGTTGTAAATCAGCTATTCTGCAGTATTTACTGAATATAAATAACTTTAAACTTTATTATAAGTTGAAATTGAACTCAGCAAATTTTATTTTGAATTCAACAAGTTCAATTTTGAGTTCAACTTAAACTTAAGTTTCAATGATTCAAATTAATCTCCTGAATGATTTAAAAATCTTATCACGACTTCTCCAGGTCATTATCATGGGTATTAAAAATCACATTTAGTTCACAATCTTGCGTAAAATAAAATTTGAATGGTTTACATGTCAAAGCACCAAGGTTGTCCTGATTTTTAATTAATATCCCCAAAGTAAAAGTGAAACTGCTTATTACTTGAATACAATAAAATGTCATTTTTTCTTTCGTTGAATTGTTAAAAACTTCCCATTCACACAGACAAATGGAATGTTGACATTTCGATAGAACATGATCGATAACATGCTGGTCATACATTTTCATGATATTTATTATTATTTTTTCGACTGTATCATTAATTATAACGTGTTGTAGGTTTATTTAACTGTGCTTTTCATCGCGATAAAAAAAGAGTCACCAAAACAACAATTTCTTTACGACAATGTCGACGGAGACAGAGTGAAAAGGAGAGAAATTGAAGAATAAAAGAAATTTTGTTGTGATAAATTTGGAGATAAATGTGATTGAAGGCGCACAATTGGATTTAGTGGAATTTGTCAATGGTCCTTTTATTTTTAATTTTGAGACTTTAAAGAATTTCTAAAATGAGAATATTATAATCTGGCTGGAATATAAATAAATATTAGTTTATTGACACTGAATTAAACATTGGAAAACAGAATTAAAGAATTAATATCCAATTTAATTGACTTTAGAATAAAATTAGAGTTTCTAATCTAAATTTCCCAATAATTACAATACAATTACTAGCTTGAGTTAATTAAATTGTTATTAATTGACTTGTTTAATAAGTTCATCCAATTAATTCTAGAAACTTTATTAGAGAAACTTTCATTTTCATAGACAGGTGCTTTTAACACCAATTTGAGGTTTAAAAGGCATGAATAGCG